TTCCCCAGACTGCACACGGCTCCCCCTCACCTGCCGCAGGTGTCTGCTCCACCTCACCTTCCGCAGGAGGTCTCCTCCCCCATCACACCGGCTACTCCCTGGCTCTGCTCTCTCTCCTCCCACTCCCACAGCCCTGTCACCTCCTGACACGCACCATCTCTTCTGTGTTGTGTTCACTGGTTCTGCCTGTCTCTCCTCCCCAGAATGAGAGCTCCACTGAGGGGACTGTTCTCTGTCTGGTCTCTGCTGTCTTCCCAGGAGCTAGGACAGTGCTGGGCACACAGATGCTCAGTAAACATGTGTTAAAGGAAGGAACAGAACTATGATGTGGAGGAGTGAGATGCTGATGGTGCCTGGATGGGGGTGTGGGAAGGGCAGGGAAATGGGGGAGGGAGCTGAAACAGCAGGGGAGGGGGGCTACGGCTGGGAAGCAGTGGAGATGGATGCCTCATTAGCACTCACACCCTGGCCCTGAATCTGGCTCCACTGCCCCAGAGCTGCAGCAGGAGAGGGTGGCTCACCAGGCAGATGCCCCCTTCATCCTTCCTGTGGCTAGTGCACAGCACGAACTCTGTTCTCTTCTCTGGGTAGTCTCTGGCACACATCTCATTAGACTGGAGTTTGAGTTCCACGCACTGGAGTGACTCAGGCCTCTCAGCTATGGGCAATGGAGAAATGGGCTGTGGCCAACCCAACCTGGCTTTTCAGTTCCCTCCTGCCTCAGACCTGCTGTCCAGGCCCCCAGCCTCCTCCCTCAGACCCGCTGTCCAGGCCCCACGTGGTGTGTTTGGCTCTGGCATACTTGCGAGTGGGCTGGTCATGCCCCAGCCAGAAGTGTAGCAGGTGCTCCCCAGTTGGGGTTCCTGGGTGGGCAGGTCCAGGACCTTCACGGCGTCTGTTATCTGGGCGGGCTGCGCCAGGCGGAGCAGCATGAGGTTGTGGCTGATGTCATCATATGGGCGCAGGTATTTCTTCTTCAGGAGGCTCAGGTCAAAATCTGGATCAATGAAGCTGTCACTGACCTGGAGGAACTGGACTGTGTCGTCATCCTCCAGCAGGTTGTGGAGACCCAGCCAGACCTGGTAATCACTAGGGAGAGAGGAGGATGGAGGGAATGAGGAGGAGAGAGGAGGGGGGAAGGGAAATGGAGCAGGGGAGCCTGGTGGAGGGTCCAAAGAGAGAAAGAGAAATGGTGAGAAAAACAAGGAGATAAGAAAGATCATGAAGAGGTAAGAAAGAGACACGGAGAAATAGAGACGTGAGTGAGGAAAGAAAGGAATGTGAGAGTGTGAAAAAGGCAGATACAGAGAGAAATGCAGTAAAAAAGAGAGATTAAAATAGTAGAGAGGATAGGAAAGAGAGAAGAATGAGAAGCAGAGGGAGCAAATAAGAGACAGGATGAGGAAAAGAGACAGTGAGAACTAGTCACAGAAGAAGCAGGAGAGAAAAGACAGAAGAGGCAGGAGAAGGAGACAGAGACACAGTGAGCAGGGACGCAGGAAGTAGAAAGAGCGGATCAGAAACAGAGGAGAGGAGGGGAGGGGGAGACAGAGTGTGAGGGAGAGAGGGAGGGAGGGTGGGCGGTGGGGCAGGAGGGAGGAGGGGGCCTGAGAGCAGCTCAGCTGCAGCTGGGGCTGTGGGGCTGGTTCCCCAGCAGCCGTGTGGCCTGGCCCCCAGCCCAAGGTGGGCGTCCCTCTTCCCTCCTCAGAACCTCTCCCCCTTGCTCCTTACTTCTCCTGCCTCCTTCCTCCATTGTCCCCACCCAGTACGAAGTGAAACCAGTTCTTCCCCGTGTTAACTGAAAAGCCTCAAATGTGTTTATTGGGGAATAGCCAAGAGAATCCCAATTTGGGACGTGCACGCTCTGGCAAACCATAGGCAAATACAGAAAACAACGGAGGGGAACTGCTTTTATAGAAAAAAAGGGGAGTAAGGAGGGGCTGTTTTAAACAGAAATCCATTGGAGCAAAGTAACAGTTCAGGGCAGCAATGGCTTCTCATTGGCTGAGCTGTTTCAGTTGGGGAGAGAAATCTTTCTTTAGAAGTAAAATAATTTTACTTCCTGTCCAAGATGCAAACTGTCTGTCTTTTCCCCGTTTGGTGTAATTGACCATGTGTGATAGGGCGTGAGAGCTACTCCTACTGGCCTTTCGGACTCCAATTTAGTTAAGGGTTCTTTTATTAATTTCTACACCTGTGTCCCCCTGGAGGGACGACTGTCCTGGAGGGAGGAGCTGGGCAGCGGGAGAAGACCCCCCCGCCCCCGACACACACACCACACACACACGTTGAGGATGATGCCTTGTCTCTGGGGGTCCCTGCAGTCCCATCCAGGGTGTGACTGTGCTCAGCGGTGATGGGGGAGAGGGAGTGAGGCAGAGACCAGAGACATAGACAGGGAAGAGAGATGGAGAGTGAGACCTACAGAGACAGGGGTGACAGCTGAGAGACCCAGAGATGGACAGAGACAGGGAGAGACAAAGAGACATGGAGACAGAAGAGAGGGAGACAGAGACAAATCACAGTCACTCAGAGAGACACATAACAGAACCAGTTACACAGGGAGACACAGAGACAACACAGAGGGAGACACAGGAAGACAGAGAGAGAGTTAAACGGGGAGACACAGAGAGAGACCAGGCAGACATGGGAGGGCTTCCCTGGGGTCGTCCAGTCCCAGCCCTGCCTCTCTCCGTGGGACCTGGACCAGTCCCATCCTTCTCTCCCTCAGCCCCCAGACTCCCCTGAGGTGATCCCAGGGGAACAGCCCTGGCTGACCATTCCTGTGGGAGCACAGACGCCCCCCTCCCCAGACCCTCTACTCCTGCTCACTTGGTCTTGCAGTGGGCGGCTGTGAGCACCCACTGGGGGTGCACCAGGACGCCCCCACACTGGAACTTGCTGTCATGGTACAGAGCCACCTGCCAGGGTTGAGAATGCTTCTCACACTCCCAGCCTCCTATGATCCGGGACTGGATGGGGGTCACGGCACCTGTGAGAGGGGTACTGAGTCAGGGTGGGTGGAAGTTAGCAATGGGACTGGGGGCTGGGCTAGGAGAGGGAGCTGTGCTGTGGGGTTGGAGGGACCCGGGGGCAGAGGACCAGGCTGGGGACATGGGCTGTGGGTGTTGGGAAGGACCTGGCATTCCTGAATTGTCCCTGGGATTGTGGGATAGTAGTTGTTCTGGGTGAGGAGATTTTATGCTGAGAGCAGAGCCGACCCCAGGGATCAGGGTAGGAGACAAGGCAGCATCTGAAGCAGCATTTGGTGTGGGAGTTGGGTGTTTGCGGTCTTGGATTGAGGGACAGGAGGTTGTGAATTCTGAGAGGAGAAAGAGATTCTGAAAATCAGGGATAAAGGCCCCAAGGGAGTGGCTCAGAGGCTGGGGGAGGAAGGATTTGGGAGGTTAAGGGGACCCCAGGCTGAGGGAACGTTTAGGTCCTGGATTGGGCATTTCAGGTTCTGAAAAGGATGCAGATGTGGGGAATCAGGTCCAAGGGGCCAAGGGGAGCATCTGAGCTGGGGAATCTGGGTGTGATTTAAGGTCTTGGATTGGGGCTGGGAGATTTGGGGGAATTTGGAGTTCCAGGTCAAAGGGTAAATGAAAGGGTTAGGCTGGAAGGGATCCTGTGAGGGTCCGGGGTCCTGTGAACCAGGAATGGCATTCTCTGGGGTGAGGGCTCTGGGGGATACTGGGCCAGGTTGGCGTCAGGCTGGGGCAGGCCTGAGGAGGGAGAGGTGAGTGACAGTCAATGTGATAGGATGTGGATTGGGATTCTTGTGTTTGAAGGGGATGGGGGTCATGGAGTGAGGGTCCTGAAGGGATTTATAGTTCTTTTGGTGTGCTCCAAGGACAGGAATGGAGAAGAGAGGGCCAAGGGGGCCAAGCAGATGTGAGCCCTGCTAGACGTGGAATACTAGAATCACCTCTTGGGGTACCCAAGGGAGGTCAAGGCAGGACAGCTGGCTTGTAAAGTGTTGGGGATCTTGGGGGTCCCAGAAAATCAGAGGTGCTAAAGGAAGAGATTTGCATGGGAGAAGACCTGAAGTGGGGGAGTGATGGAAATTCTGCGAGAAAGGAGTTTCTGTTGGGGGGTCTGGGTATTTGTCTTGGAGGAGAAGACTGGAGAAGGTGCTGGATG